CGTGATGTGAGTTTTTTTTTGTTTTTGTTAAATGTACCCGTGTCTGATGGTCATGTAGGGTAGTGTAGTAATTGTTTTTAAAATCAGTCTTTAGGTGAGTTTTTACAAACGAAAGGAGGTGAAATCGGCGTGACGACGAAGAGAAAAAGAAGGTGCGGTTGGTTGGATTTAGTTTTGTTAAAATTTACCACGATGGTCAACGGGTACACGGCGTTATGCGTTACCAAATTGGATATATTAGACGGTTTACGAGAGATAAAATTAGCCGTCTCTTACAAGATAAATGGAAAAGAATTGAATCATTTTCCATCAAGTGCCGAAGAATTATCGCGAGTCGAGGTGAAAATATGAAGAAGAAGAAGAAAAAAAAAATTTCTTTTTTAAAAAACCTGTATTCATCGCTAATGTAACACAATTAAAATTTTAGGTGGAATACATAACCGTACCTGGTTGGCAATCTTCAACGGAAGAAATTAAAAAATTTGAAAATTTACCGATAAACGCACAAAAATATGTTGAAAAAATAGAAGAAATTGTTAACGTCAAAGGTAAGCAAAAAGATTTTTCATTTAAACAAAGTCCAAAGGCCCCCGGGGGGGGGGAGAGAGGAGAGGGAGGGAGGGAAAGGGAGGGAATTTATAAAAGGAAAAAATTTAATTACAATTTTTTTTTTATATTTTTATAGTTAAATGGATAGGAGTAGGAAAAGGACGAGAGTCAATTATCCAAGTTTATTAATAATATATATATATAAGGAGAGAAAAAAAAAGTACCAAATGCTTGTCCGTAGGTAGAATATATATAAAAAAATTTTTTTTTTTTTTAATTTATTTTTTAATGTAGATGCTGGAATGGGTATATAAAATAAATTTAATTCGATAATAATAATAATAAAAGAGTTTTTAAAAGAATCGTAAACAACGTTTTAGACGGTCATTTCCGATTTTTTTTTTTTTTTAAATAAATGAAACACCAACAAATGTTTATAATTCGCAAAAAAAACAAACGCTGTTATTATTATTATTATTATTATTATTATTATTATTATTATTTTTATCCAAGTGAAAATTTTAAACCGAAAAGTATTGTAGTTAAATATTATTTTTAAATTAAGAAAGAGAAAGAAAATAAATAAATAAACACACAATATCAATTTATTATTGATTTAAAATTTTTTTCTATAAATTTTATTGAAAAATTTATTAAATTTAATAGATTTAATAAATGGATGACATTTAATTAATTTTAAAAAGCGACAAATGTTTTCAAATTGAATTTCTAAGAAAAGCGTAAAACCTGAAATTAAAAAAAAGAAATTATTATTATTATTATTATTATTATTATTGAATGAATAATTAGAGGGGGAGGGGGGGTAAAAAATATACCTGATAAAAGATAACCGATGAATAAAATGTAAAAAGCACCCTGAAGCATTTTCGTGTTTAAAGGTTGGAGTGCGTGTGTCGTACCTAAATTTTGATGATTGGATTCTTTTTCATCTTTGTCTAAATTTACATGCGATGCTAAAATTTCTTCTTCTTCTTCTTCAACGTTCTTATTGTAAATTTTTATTTATTTAATTTTTATTTATGTATTATTAACACGTTTTTCATTTTATTAATTTTTACTTACTTGAATGTCTTCGTTTTTTATTTGCGATACATTTTTTTTTTTTTTAACGTTTTCAAATTCGGCTCTTTGTTCTTCTCCTAATCTTTCATATTCTTCTACGGTCATTTTAGTTAATATTCCACCTTCGAAAAGTTGCATTAAACTAAATGAAAATCATCATCATTATTATTATTCTGTTTTTTTTTTTTTTTCGAGCGTGCATAACGTATTATTAATAATAATGACGAACTTAACATTTTATTAAAATTTTCTATGTAAGGACAACCGAGTTGCATGGCGATTCCTGCATATCTCGTATTAAGTTTTTCACTCATTTGAAAATTATAAGAACCTGAATTATAATTTAATTAATTAATTAATTAAAATTTAAAAAAATTACTATTATTATTATTATTATTTAGTTACCGAATCTTCTGCTGTCGAAATAAAGAGTTTCTCTACCCCCTAAAATAACGATATTTTTATTTTTTCGTACCATTTTCATTCCAGATTCGACTGATTCGATTAAATAATTTTTTTGATTTTTCATTTTTTCCCATATTTTTTCATAAATTCCCGTACCGTTCTATAAATATAGAAAACAGTAAAAAAAAAAAAAAAAAAAAATGGCGAAGGAAATATCAATTTATACCTGAAGTGTTGTGAGTGAAGAACTATGTTTTTCCACCAATAATTGATACCCTCTTGTTTCCATGGCCGTATCGAGTTGTTCTAAAACCGTTATTGGTTTTTCCCTACCTGGCCTCGCCAAAAGAGATGTTAAATTAGCAGAATACATATCACCGATGACATAAGTTGCAGCTAATGTAACTATTATTAATAATAATCGCACTTTGTGACTTTTTGACGGATATATACCACCTGTGACAAAATAAAAATATACCTTAAATATTTATTTTTATTAATTTTAAAATTAAAGGAACGTACCTTGTTTTAAAAATGTCGAAATGCTAAACCAAACGCAATGAAAAAATAATTTTTTCCTTTCTTTCGAATCCCTTTTTATTTTCATTAAATAATTTTGTGATTCTATTATGAAAAATAATATCGGGCCGTATATTGTAAATGTGCATAGAATAGGCGGCCAAACCTGAAAGATTTGAAACAGGATTTAGGTTTTGCATTTAAAAAAATAAATAAATTAAAGATGTCGCGCGACCTGCCATTGAAAAGGTCTTATCAATGCAAATGCTTCATTTAATTTACTAGGCCTGTGTGTTACAAATGCTTCGCTGTCGACCAATGTAAAAAATGTAAATTCGACTGTTTTTGCTCTGTCGTATGTTATCGTAACATCTCCCATAAAAAAATCAAATTCCTGTTGGGGGAAAAAAAAAAATCATTTATTTATTTAAATAATAATAATAATGATAATTGTTTAAATTTTAACAAAACTCAACAAACTCTTTGCCAAACTTGTCCCAAAACTCCTGAAAATGTACCATTTGTAAATATTCCGGTACCTTGAAGTCTTTCAGGCGGATCAACATATTTATACCTATAAAATAATATTAAAATTAAATATTTTTAAGGTTTCCCTTTGTTTATTATACTTCCATACCTGAAATTTAATTTTTGTGCTATTATTGTTAAAAGTTTATCATCTCTT